CCATTTAAAATGTGTCAAATACTTTGAATTATTTGTTATGTAGGGCTGATATTGAAATTTCTTAATGCATTAGATGGGGACGATCATCAAAAATCTTGAGAAGCACTTATCTATAGGCAATTATAAGCAACTTTTCTGTTAAAAATTACAAAAAGGGATTCATACATTCGAATGTGACTTTATAATGAAACTCTGGAATTGGTATTTAATAGAGAGGTTTCGAAAAGTAGTGAACTACAACAATAAAAACTCTTTATATTTTTAACTATTTGAATTTTTGTTGTTGTAGTTCACAACTTTTCGAAACCTCTCTAAAAAATTTTATACCAATTTAAAAAATGTTATTTCTGTTATAATTTTAATATAGTATTTGTATATATAAAATTTATTCATTTATTATTTCTGCGGCAAAACTAATATACCTAACTACTTATTTTAATGAGTCCAAAACGTGTAAGTGGTAAGGTATTTAAACTCTGGGTCTTCAAATATGTTAACTTGCATTTTAATCAATTTAAAAAATCCTACGTTTTAAGCAATTTCGTAAGCTAAATATATATTTTAAAATCACATTCCTGTAAAGTCTGGGTTCCTACACATTTCATAGAACATAACTTTAAATAAATTTGGAAGAGACATTGTACTCACCCGGTATTTTGTCATTGTTCTGCATTGAAACTTTATGTATTGTGGCATAATAACGTTCCCGTTGAGCAGCTTCAGAATTTTGTCGATTTTCGAATGACTCCTTTTGTATTCGATTTCCTTGTTCTAAAAAAACATTGAAAAATGAAATATGAGAAAAATCATTACAAAAACAGAAAGAAATATACAATTAGACGAAAAAATTATGCGTTATTTATTGGTACACGCGTCTTTTTCCAATTAAATTTCAATTTGTTGAACCAACAAATGTGAATGCAACAATCGTTTATAGAATTCTTTGCAATGACACAATACACTGACAATACACTGACTGTTTGTCCTACTGAGCCCACTTAACCCATTCCACATTGATTCAATACTCACTGTGTCGGTAGCACATTACAACCAATGCAATTGTGCAAATCATGCCTGAAACGGTCGCTATGCTGGGTATCAATAGATTCACATTTCCATAAAAAACGCTCGAGCCGCGTTGACCGCGTTGCACAATCTCTGGTGGTGGTGGATCGCCATCCTTGGTGAGTGTGACAAATGTGAATTCAGCCTGCGACACGCCGGCTACATTGTGCGCTTCCATACGCAATTGATAGAGTGTAGATGGCTGTAGGCCTGATATTGTAAAGCGCCGTTGCGGTTTTAGAGCATTCGAAACTGCAATAAAAATTAATGCCACAAACGAAAACCAGAGCAGACGAAACGAAAAACAACAACAACAACAAAAATGATTAATAAAAACATCAATGGAATTGTCATGTACAGAAATAAAAGAGGTCAATTGTTTTACGGCGTAATTTATGTATATAAATTCGGTTTGTGGTGGAAATTACTGCCGTAAGACAATACATAAATATACGTTAAGGGAAATGATAACTCACCCAATATCCAGTCGCGTTCGGTGCTATCAGTAACCGGACGATATTGCAATACAAAATACAATAAGGGGCAACCATTATCGGGCCAAGTATGCAAACGTATTAACACTGAAGTTGAATTTGGAGCGATGAGACTAGTCGTGGATGGCATGCCAGGTGATTGACCTTGCGTACGCACATGAAGTGTTATACTTGCCGGTGATGAACCAACCTTATTATGAGCTGTGAGATGTATCTGATAAGTGCTGCCACATACAAGTCCCTTAAGTTCATGACTAGAAGCGTGACGTGATAAATGCATTTCATCTGTATTACCCGTAGCACGTCTGTAGAAGAGCGTGTAGCCAGTTATGGGAGCATTACCAGTGAAACCACATTTCCAATGCATCAGTATGCTACTCGATGTAGCGCTTGTAACATATAGAACCGGTGCAGATGGTGGTAATTGCACCACTAAGACATGTGTCAAACGATCTGTACCAATGCCGTTGTCAACTTGACAACTATAATTGCCACTGTCGGCAACTTGTAAACTAGAAATGATCAAGTCGCCAGAATCAAGTAATTGCGAATTATGAACTCCACCTTGACGCAATGACATATCAGATTTGAACCATTCACGCTTCGGTTTTCCAACTGCAGTACAGGGCAGTGTAACTGTAGAACGCCAAGGTCTCACAATTGGTCCACCAAATGATACGATACGTGCCGGTACACGATTTGTAGTGATTTGCGAAGCAACTCGTGAACTTTTTCCTTCACCAACACGCGTTGAAGCTGTAACCCAGAATTGATATTCAATATGTGGATGGAGATTTTTTGCTTCGTAATGTGATTGCTGTGAAGGTAAACTACGTTTTTCGTTATTTAACTCTTCACGACCATTAACGACTCTGGTATAGAGGTTATACTTCGTTATAACACCATTAGGTTCTGCTGGTGGTAGCCAAGACACGTATAAAGATTGTGGTGAGCTAACTACGACTTTGATATCTGCTGGAGCTTCGGGTGCATCTTCTTCAGTGTGACAGTAGAGTGGATTGGATAATGAGCCATCGCCCATACGTGTATGTGCTAGTACTTGTATGCTATAGTTAGTGTATTTTCGCAGACCAGTTAACACTGTAGTCAAGGCTGTTGTTTTGCGTGATTCCACTTCATCTTTACTAGGTGAAAAATCATCAAGTATGGGTTCAAATATTAGTTTGTAGCCTTGTAGTAGGCCGTTTGTATGATGAATTGGTGGTGGTTGCCAGGAAACTTGTAGAGATTGTGAAGTGAGTGCTGCACAACGTATATCTTCTGGTGAGCGGCTAGGAACTAATTAGAATTTAAAGGTTCAGTTAAGATTTCTTTTTTACATTTAGGCATATTTTAAAATATTTTTGTATCAATATTAATATATGTAACTCCATTAATAAGTTTAATACAATTAATACTTTAATTGTAAAAAAAAACTATTAATAAAATAATAAGTGCATAATTAGTAATATTGCTAATAAGGGAATTATATGAAATTTATATTCAATAAAATAGGTGATTTATTTAAGAGAATAATTTAAATCGTGTGATAACACAATTTACCAAAGAAATTAATTAAAAATTTATGATTTATCGATAAGATTAGCTTATATTATTTGACAATACTCGATATTTTAGAATGGTTCGAACTGTATAAACAACAACAAAAATTTTAATTAATTTATTGAAATTTGGCTGACTGTACAACGGTTTTCGAGTGTTGCCTAACACTCATCATCTGTGATCTCAGGAAATATTTGAGTTTTTATTTAATTAGTTTGTAAGTCCGTAAATAATTTATTAGACTGCTGTATAATTTATGTTGTTCTTTCTCCATTACTGTTCGAACCTTTCTAACTTATAAATAGTTTATTTTCATCATTAGGCGTTTCACATTTGACACAAATTTTGTTGTTGTAATTCCCTACTGTTCGATAAATTAAACTTCATATAATCCCAATCAAAAAAATATAAAAATCATGTATTTATTATAATAATATATACCATCTTCCATAGTTTGTGCTGAAACTGGTTCAGAAAGTGGACCGGGTCCAACCTGGTTAAAAGCTTGTACTACAACGTTGTACCGTGCAAACTTTTGTAGACTGCTCAATAACAATTCTCCAGTACCACCATCACCATCTCCAGATACCGAAGTAAAGTTATAGGCTGTATTCCCTGAACTAGCCAACTTATAGCCAACATTGTAACCTTGTATATCGCCATGCCGCAATTCTGCTAAAGGAGCTACCCAACTGACTAGCAACTCCGTAGACGAAAGTGGCCGTACTGACAAATTTAGAGGTGGCCCTGCTGGACGTTGTGGTTCTGTGCGTACAACAAGTTCTTGACTAGGTGCGCTACGTCCCGCTGTACCTTCTGCAATAACACGAAAAGCATAACGTGTAGCTGGCTTAAGATTTTCTATTAAGGCATTAAAACTCGGTGGGTCCTTGACTTCAACATGTTGCCATTGCTCGATAAATAGCGCTATAATGTATAAAACAGAAATAATTTATAAGGAATTATAGAAACTCTTTCTCTATGGACTTACGATCCATCTCTTTATATTCAACTAAATACTTTGATACATCGCCTGAATTAAGTGTCTTTGGTTGCCATTTTAAATTCACAGAACGACTTGATATCATTGCTGCTTCTAACACAGAGGGTGGTTGAGGTGGTTCTTGTACTTGCAACTGCACCAATTGCTGATCATTGCCATAGAGATTCGAAGCACGACAAAAGTATGGCCCACTGTCGCTAGCATCCACTGTACGTATTTGCAATTCCGCAGATACGCCATCGGGCGTTGCTTCCTGCTTAACCGAAATTCTGTAAAGGACATAATTGCATTTTCAATCAAAGGTAAAAATTTTATGCGCATTAATAATTTATTCCACTATGACTGGAACTTGCTTACTTGTAATTTGTCGATGGATTTAATGTATTTTTCCCGGAACGCATCCAAACGATATTAATCGGCTTGTCACCGCTGACAGAGCACTGCAAAAGTGCAGTGTCGCCTTTTTTAACTGTCACCGAGCGAGATGTCGATGAGAAATACGGTGAAGCTATTATTGATAAAAGCAAAAAAAAGCAAAAAAAGGATATAAAAAAAAAAGGTTGTGTAAATGCAAAAGTTTAATGAAAATCGTCCTGTTTTATCATTAATGTTGCAGCACTCAGCATTAACACAATTTTTAATGCCCAAAAGAGCTGCAACTACTTTCGTATTGCATTTAATATATTTATTGCTTGCATAATTACAATAATTATATTTTTAAGTCGTGATACACTTAAAATCGGTCTCACTGGGATGTACGAGAGTAGTTTTTTCTTGTTGTTGTTTTTATGTTTTTATGTTTTTATGAAAGGATACATTTTATGCTTAATCAATGCACACAACTTACAATTAACTTTCAGTTGAATGACCTTCCCAATGCCCGTGCCGATACCATTGTTCGCCTGACACAGATAGAATCCTTCACGATCCTCCTTTACGTGCTGCAGCAGCAATGAACCGTTGCCAAGTAATTTCGTAAATGGTCTTTCACGCACCTCCTCGTACTCGCCAGATTTACTGCCTGCAATTTGAGTTAATTTTTTTCGCTTGTTATTCATGGCAACAACATAAAATTGTGATTACACTAAACTGTTATAAACATGTCCCCCTGCACCCTTACGCCAACGAGCGGGCTCGTGGACTGGTGGGCTGGTGGGTGTATTGCAAGCACGCTGGCTTTTGTCAGCAATCCAAAATCATGTTGCTGTCAAATTGCCAACGCGTCGCTGTCGTACAAATTGAGTTGGTTAGATTGTTAACTGCCACAAAATTATAGTTTAAAACTTGACAAATCACTGCAAATTGGCACTGTTGAATTGGGTTAAGGAAAAATTTTATCATTCGTGAAATTCGAAATAAAAAGTTTAAAACCACCTGCAGCTTAGATTATTATGTGAACACAAAATACCTGAATTATGGCTTAATATTATTGAAGAACATTAGTAGCACTGGTAATTACCCAGCTCTATTTTATAAGTAATGAAAAACTTGGATTTATGTCAAGGCTTGATTTGGCTTTTTGTTGATGAATTCGAAACAATTCTAAAAGTTTTCAATTACAATTTAAGTACATATTTTTGTGTTCACTTTAACTGTGGCAAATAAATATAAACGATTAGGGAAAGGAAGAAAGAGATTTGCTCCCAATATTCGCCGAAATGCACGATATCTGATAAAATTCTATTTGAAATAACGCTCGAAAAGTATTCGTTTGACAAGACTGTATTAATAACAGCTTAAACGTTATGTGAGAAAGGCAGAAACTATTCAATTTTCAATATAATAAAACATTCACACTGTCTCATTTAGGCATATGCTCATTTATATTAATAAGTGAACGTTCACATTGTAATGAGTTCATTTATGCAGCTGATAAAATTCTAAACACTTTTATAAACTTCACTTAATATGTTAAATCATTTATACTCGTATTAATTTTATATATCAACTACATATTCAATTAATAAAAACAAAGATTTTATTAAATACTTAATCCTAAGTGCGTTTGTTTACAGCTCAACTGTACTTTGTTTACATTTTACGTATAAAACATATCACATACATTTGAAATTTTGGAAATTGCCCTTGTGGGAAATTTAATTTTAAGTGTTGCATTCGGCACTTTTCGCCTTAAGGCTCAATTAGTCGGTACGTACCGTGAAAACTTAAGTTAAAGCGAAATGCACAACCAATCATAACTGTGATTTTGATGGGAACCAAATACAGATATGGTTGGTTGTACATTTCGCTTTGACTTAAGTTTTTACGGTACGTACCGACTAATTGAGCCTTAAGGCGAAAATTACCGTTTTTGATTCGATATATATAATAATATACCAAAAACTTCTTTACTAAAGAGCACTGCTTTATCAATTGTCAAAGTGTATTCTAGTAATGAAAATGTCGCTTAATTAATCGTCAGAATCGTCAACTTTTGTAACGAGTGACTGTAGTTTAATCGTACGTTGGACAATATGTTGTCAAGTGGGTTGTGGATTTAAATAAACAGTAGACTCTTAATAATCACTCATGGTTTATTCTTACCTGTGGCCTTCTTCCATACTACGCTGGGTGTAGGAACTCCTTGTGCTTGACAGTGCAGCATGATATGACGATTGCGTTCCACATTCGCATCGGCTGGCTCAACAATCCAACGTGGAGGAACTAAAAATGTTTAAATTAATAGAACAAAAAAAAAAACAAAAAAAAAAAAAAATAAAACATTTAGTTTATTTATAATAGATTTCGATATATGGTATAGAATAGAAAATAAAATTATTCATAACTCATAAAACAATAATTTAAATAGTAGATATTAAGTCATAAGTCATAAATCAAACAAATTTTATCATTTCGAACACATCTAATAAATATTCTCATATCAAATAATACGGAAAATGATTAAAGAGAGAGCAAAAGAGTTTGAAATATTTTATATCGTTTCAAATAATATTTATAGATTTTGTTCAATACAATAAATAAATTAGTAAAGTATCTTATTTACTTATTTTGTATACAGTAAAGAAAGTTAAAGTAAATTTAACAATTGAAATGGAGCAAAATAATTAAGTAGAGGAGCAGAATACATATGAAATAAAGATAAGATTTAAAGTTTTAGGCAAGTTTAAGAAAAGGATAATCTGAATTCTTTATGCAACAAAAGAGAATATAAATTTATTGAAAATAACACGCCAAAATAAAATTTAATTAATTGAAATATTTTCCTATAATAAATTATCTCGAGCCAATGCAATTCAATATATTCTAATAAATAATTTAAAATTGTTTATTGAACAATTTTTTAATTTTTTTTTTCATTTAATGTTACACAATTAAATTTGTTTTATATATTTTTATATCTTAATGATTGATATATTAAGATTTCAGTTATAAATTTCATTACGGAGAGCCATTAGCTGATATGTGTGCAAAGATTTTTTTCTCTTATACATAAATTATTTATTTGATTTATATATAATTCGTTTTCATATACTCTAGTTATATGTATGTTTATCTTAATTTTCAATAATAAAAATATTTATTTTAGTATATATAATCAATCCATTATAAAGTAAATAATATTATTATCGTCACCCCCCCACAACTATAAAATTTCGAACGCCGAAGATGTTGGTTAAATAAAAATTTTGTAATTTGTTTTATGTTTTTAAACCTTTTAAATACCATAATTATGATTGATATTCTTCTAAATTATTTATGATTGTCTATAATAGATCTATTACTATCACTATCTTCAAAATAGTAATAGTAATACAAGATCTATAAAATGGTTTAGCGATATTGTAGAAAAATGCTTGTGGTAGTGATAATATATGATAATTTAAGGTGGATAAAATTAAAGCTTAATTCCGTTTCTCTCTTTAACATCTAGGGCTCTGGTAATAACGGCCCAGACTTAACATATAACGGTCAATTTTAAGTTCTCAAAACTGGGGTCTTAAACTATTAACAAAAACTTATTTTTTTTCTTAAACAATCCGAACTTTGTGTCCTCAAGAAACGTGCTACAAATAAGTAGATAAAAAATTTTAATAGCTTTCTACGAATACCCTCTCTTTTCAAAAGTAGAGACTTTCAAAAATTTTTGAAATTTTTATATTATTATTTATTAATTAATTAAATTTTTGGCCATCATCAGTGGTCTCGGAAGTAATTCTTGTATTTAATTAATCGTAAATAATTTTTTTTAAACTGTAAGTACCAGGAATTGAACTCGTGTTCTGCCAAATTTAAAACTCAGAGTCAGCGCACCTTAACCAACTGACCCAAATCCGTATTCGACTTTTATGTTCGCACATTTTTCTGGAGTTTTGTTAATTTGGTGTGGAAGTTCATTAACAAATACACTCGCTGTGTTATATTAGAACGAAATCATAAAACAGCTGTAGTATAATTGAATTAATTAATTATATTTTTTATTTTATTATTGTTAAATTACAATAATATTCTTTTGTGGAGCCATTAATTAATATATGATAATAATACTCTTTCTTGTGTATGGAACCTAATAGGGAGAAAATCTTGCTAACGTCACTCTACGATTCGCTAAAGCGAAATTGAAAAGCTGAAAACTTTTTTGGAATTGGAAAAAAAAATTGTCTTAACTCTTTAAATCACTAAAAATTTGACTCTTTATAGCTGAAGACCCAAATATATGAATCAAGAACGGATTACAGATTTGTGCGCAGCAGACTCAAATTAATCTAAAACTGTTATAAGAAATAAAATGAGAATAAAATGTCGCATAGTTTACTTTTGGACAAATTTTAGACGAATTTTGGACATATTTTGGACAAAGTTTAAGTGTGTTTTCGACAAACTTTGAGTGAAATTTTATAAAAAATTTTATATTTAGAACTTTAAACCTTAAAATAACCTTCACATAAACTTCAATTTAAATTAATTATTAATAAATGTTTTGTTAATGTAATCTAATACTTTTTTATTTCAAATATAACTTTCTTTTTAACAAATTGTTTTTATAATTAGAGTTAAGTTAATTTAGTTAATAATCTTTTTTCAAAATAATATGCGAACACAAAAGTCAAGTACGGCTCAGAGTACGCTGACTCTGAGTTTCAAATTTTACAGGACACGAGTTCGATTCCTTGTAGTTGCAGTCTCAAAAAATTTGTTACGAATAATTAAATACAAGAATTATTATCAAGACCACCGATAATGGGTATTACGCAATACTCGAAACAGCTGTAGAGTCAGCCAAAAATTCAATTAATTAAAGTATTATCAAAATGAAATTTTGTTGTTCTAGTTCACTACTTTTCGAAAAACTCTTTTTCAAATAATTTTTAAAAATGTTTGACTTCACAATAATAAATTGAATAGGGTCTACGAAATAGACCGAAATATCTGTGTTATAAATATTTTTTAAAAATATAATACAAATGAACAAGTGTGATTTTTTTATAATTTTTATGTGTTAATTAAGCGACCTAAACCCTGTAAAAATTAAAAAACCTTTTTTGGATACTTTAATATTAAATATATATTGTGATTAAAATTATTGTGAAGACCTACTCAATTTTCGACATGTTATATATATATTATAAGTCAGTGTAACTTGTTCCAAAATTTTTTTCATTATATATACAATCTCATTGAAAAAAAAATGTCGACATAAAATAAAATATTGCAATTATTATTATTTTATTTATTTACATTTCTTTTTGTTTTTGTAATTACCTCTCCTCTGCACATTTATGCAAATATTATGCAGTTAACCACATTATTAAATTATTGATTTGTTTTAATTTTTTTTATTTGAACATCAGGATAATTTAAATCTTCTCATGCAATGTACGAATAATTAGTTGAGTGTCAATTACGAATATATTTAAAAGAAACGAAAGAAAAAGGATAATACAAAATATGAGAAATCAAAAATTATTGATCACCACTGTAACGCAGCAAAACAAACATAATTGTGAAACCAAATGAAAATGGAAAAAATGCTGCCAACTGTGAATGAGTTGCCCAAAGGACTTCTCACACACATCCCCACATATCCCCACACATTGTACTGTACTCTACTTTAGGCTCGCAGTTACGTACACATCGTTTCACAAACGTTCACTCGTTTATATATTGGCATATTTCGCATAAATACACACACACATACACTTGTGTATCCCAACTCAAATACGCACTCCATTACATGTCGTTTGTATGTGCATTTCTACTAATACCAATACACATACGAATAACTCCTTCTGCAACTTCTGTTGCATACGTGAACGTACAATTCTCATTAATAAGGATGCCGCCCTCAGTGCAAAAGGCACTTATTGCACAAAAGTTAAAAAAAATACAACAACAAAAAAAAAATTATTTTACAGCGAGAAATGTAGGAGCAGTTGGAAATTTTTAATTAATTTACGTTTATAAAATATTGAAGCATTTAATTATATAGAAAAGCTTTACAAGCTATTGGAGCATTAAATTTAAAAATGTTAATATATTATTCCATATAAATGAAAACCGTTAAATAAATAGAAAAAAAATGTAACAAAATATTTAAATTGCAAAATAAATTAAATTTTTTTTTTAATAAATACTTCATTAGCTCTCTATATGTTATATACTCTGTTATAAATGAATTATAAATACATTTATGTATCGTATGTATAAAAGCGAAATTATAAATAATTGCATTTTATTTTCAAAACAAAAAAAACTTCTTTAAGTAGGATTAGTAATAAAAATTTCGGTTGTTATTATTTCAAAAAATCGTTGCACACAACAGCCTTTAAAAATATAATAGTTCTGGTTCTGGTTTATATAATAAAAGCGAAGCCAATTAAAACTAAAATCAAAAATCATTAATTATTCATGGGTACCAACAAAATAAATTAAACTCTTAAGCTCAAAAAAGCAACTCAACTGAAAAAAAATTATATGCAAATAATAATATTTACTATGAAGCAAATTAACAATTCATAATTAATTAAGCAAAAATTCTAGCAGCGTGCAATTTGCAGTGCATTTGCTAATATCTTTTTTTTTTCTAGTGCATACATGCGCACAATATCTTAACTAAAAAAAAAGGGGGATTAAAATTAATGCTGGTTTTGATAGAATAAATTTAATTTCTGTCCATATTTATAAATAATATTGCATTTATAATGCTTTTTATTTCAGTTTCATGATCTCAATAATATTTTATCTCCATTTTTTGGTGATTGTTTTAATAGTTTAAACAAACATTTAATTTTAAACGTAAAGAAATTAAGCAGTATAGTTAGGATAATATTATATATATCATCCCAAACTAGAATAAACACAAACACGCGACCAAAAAAAAAAGTTATTTTATTGGTTCTGAAAATGCAACCATCATCTATTAACCATCTATTAACCATTGGTAAAAAATTGAATCGATTTCGTTATTAAACTCTCAATGGGAAGATACCTGTCAGGCTGTTGAACTTAATAGCAAAGTGTAGATAAAATCTGATTATGGTACCAGAACCTCTGCGTATGAGCAGTCATGTTAATTAATATTAGAAATTGTACTGATGAAGACAAAAACAAATTTGCCACAATACGTATAGAAATATATTAAAAACAACGATCGAAATATAAGTTAAAATTCTGAATATACAAAACCGTCTTTTTCCCTATTCAAT